CGTCCATGTTCTTTAGTCCCGCCGAGTCTCGTACATAGACGAGACGGCCGTTCAGTGCTACTGGGTTCTCATTGACGGTTTAGCGCTGATCGGTTCATGACCTCCATTAAAATCACCAATATACCGCCAACAGTACATCGTCCCAGTGCGAGCAGGAACACAAAGATTTAATGATTACAAGTCATGACTTAAACAAACTGCGCATTCCAACACAGCAGCCGCAATAAGGTTTTCGGGAGTTTTGATCACTTCATCGAGTATTCATATCGTCTGGAGAGATGTTGAGGATATTTTATCCCGCCCATGTTAGACCACACTTAAGGCATTTTGTGTCCATATACCTAGTCCATGTCTTAATAAAGATACTAACACACTCGAGCGTATGTACCGTGATAAGACAAAGTTGGTGAAGTCTCTTCAGACTACTTTAAGATGAGTGCTTAGGACGTCCGAACCTTTTCCTCTTATCGTATTGTGGAGCGCCGGGTGAACTTATATCGGCACTCCATATCTGGGTATTATAATTTCTCATCTTTCTAATCCCTCCAGAACTAATCATCTCCGAGATCATAGCAAGATCCAATAAACTCACACTGGGTTTTCATTTATTTTTTATCAAGTAGTCAATGACTGAGATGCTTTACCTGAACAAGTGATATTAGTCTCATCAGTGAACATTTCCAAGAGGTTAGAACTTCTCACAATTGATTGATCACTGGGTGGTGATCAATCTCATGCGTGTCAGGTCCTTAGTGCTGATCGAATGCTATCGATCAAGTTGCAATGTGGCCACCAGTCTAGGTGGCTCGACACTGCGGGCACTATATATATTAGGGTAACATGGTGGTTGGAGGTGGTCAACAGGAAACCCTGGACCCGGGTTTCGTGCTACTTGGCACTCGTCAGCAAGGTGTACCTGTAATCTTGAGGGAACTGATGCTCCCTGGCGGATTCGATCCCGCGTCACTCAGCTTCACAGTCAGAGACGTTACCACTGAGCTATTCGGGCCGCGACCAACCTCCTGTAGGACTGAGATCTAATCACAATTGATTGATCACTGGGTGGTGATCAATCTCATGCGTGTCAGGTCCTTAGTGCTGATCGAATGCTATCGATCAAGTTGCAATGTGGCCACCAGTCTAGGTGGCTCGACACTGCGGGCACTATATATATTAGGGTAACATGGTGGTTGGAGGTGGTCAACAGGAAACCCTGGACCCGGGTTTCGTGCTACTTGGCACTCGTCAGCAAGGTGTACCTGTAATCTTGAGGGAACTGATGCTCCCTGGCGGATTCGATCCCGCGTCACTCAGCTTCACAGTCAGAGACGTTACCACTGAGCTATTCGGGCCGCGACCAACCTCCTGTAGGACTGAGATCTAATCACAATTGATTGATCACTGGGTGGTGATCAATCTCATGCGTGTCAGGTCCTTAGTGCTGATCGAATGCTATCGATCAAGTTGCAATGTGGCCACCAGTCTAGGTGGCTCGACACTGCGGGCACTATATATATTAGGGTAACATGGTGGTTGGAGGTGGTCAACAGGAAACCCTGGACCCGGGTTTCGTGCTACTTGGCACTCGTCAGCAAGGTGTACCTGTAATCTTGAGGGAACTGATGCTCCCTGGCGGATTCGATCCCGCGTCACTCAGCTTCACAGTCAGAGACGTTACCACTGAGCTATTCGGGCCGCGACCAACCTCCTGTAGGACTGAGATCTAATCACAATTGATTGATCACTGGGTGGTGATCAATCTCATGCGTGTCAGGTCCTTAGTGCTGATCGAATGCTATCGATCAAGTTGCAATGTGGCCACCAGTCTAGGTGGCTCGACACTGCGGGCACTATATATATTAGGGTAACATGGTGGTTGGAGGTGGTCAACAGGAAACCCTGGACCCGGGTTTCGTGCTACTTGGCACTCGTCAGCAAGGTGTACCTGTAATCTTGAGGGAACTGATGCTCCCTGGCGGATTCGATCCCGCGTCACTCAGCTTCACAGTCAGAGACGTTACCACTGAGCTATTCGGGCCGCGACCAACCTCCTGTAGGACTGAGATCTAATCACAATTGATTGATCACTGGGTGGTGATCAATCTCATGCGTGTCAGGTCCTTAGTGCTGATCGAATGCTATCGATCAAGTTGCAATGTGGCCACCAGTCTAGGTGGCTCGACACTGCGGGCACTATATATATTAGGGTAACATGGTGGTTGGAGGTGGTCAACAGGAAACCCTGGACCCGGGTTTCGTGCTACTTGGCACTCGTCAGCAAGGTGTACCTGTAATCTTGAGGGAACTGATGCTCCCTGGCGGATTCGATCCCGCGTCACTCAGCTTCACAGTCAGAGACGTTACCACTGAGCTATTCGGGCCGCGACCAACCTCCTGTAGGACTGAGATCTAATCACAATTGATTGATCACTGGGTGGTGATCAATCTCATGCGTGTCAGGTCCTTAGTGCTGATCGAATGCTATCGATCAAGTTGCAATGTGGCCACCAGTCTAGGTGGCTCGACACTGCGGGCACTATATATATTAGGGTAACATGGTGGTTGGAGGTGGTCAACAGGAAACCCTGGACCCGGGTTTCGTGCTACTTAGCACTCGTCAGCAAGGTGTACCTGTAATCTTGAGGGAACTGATGCTCCCTGGCGGATTCGATCCCGCGTCACTCAGCTTCACAGTCAGAGACGTTATCTCAAGATTACAGGTACATCTTGCTGACGAGTGCCAAGTAGCACGAAACCCGGGTCCAGGGTTTCCTGTTGACCACCTCCAACCACCATGTTACCCTAATATATATAGTGCCCGCAGTGTCGAGCCACCTAGACTGGTGGCCACATTGCAACTTGATCGATAGCATTCGTTCAGCACTAAGGACCTGACACGCATGAGAATGATCACCACCCAGTGATCAATCAATTGTGATTAGATCTCAGTCCTACAGGAGGTTGTTCGCGGCCCGAATAGCTCAGTGGTAACGTCTCTGACTGTGAAGCTGAGTGACGCGGGATCGAATCCGCCAGGGAGCATCAGTTCCCTCAAGATTACAGGTACACCTTGCTGACGAGTGCCAAGTAGCACGAAACCCGGGTCCAGGGTTTCCTGTTGACCACCTCCAACCACCATGTTACCCTAATATATATAGTGCCCGCAGTGTCGAGCCACCTAGACTGGTGGCCACATTGCAACTTGATCGATAGCATTCGATCAGCACTAAGGACCTGACACGCATGAGATTGATCACCACCCAGTGATCAATCAATTGTGATTAGATCTCAGTCCTACAGGAGGTTGGTCGCGGCCCGAATAGCTCAGTGGTAACGTCTCTGACTGTGAAGCTGAGTGACGCGGGATCGAATCCGCCAGGGAGCATCAGTTCCCTCAAGATTACAGGTACACCTTGCTGATGAGTGCCAAGTAGCACGAAACCCGGGTCCAGGGTTTCCTGTTGACCACCTCCAACCACCATGTTACCCTAATATATATAGTGCCCGCAGTGTCGAGCCACCTAGACTGGTGGCCACATTGCAACTTGATCGATAGCATTCGATCAGCACTAAGGACCTGACACGCATGAGATTGATCACCACCCAGTGATCAATCAATTGTGATTAGATCTCAGTCCTACAGGAGGTTGGTCGCGGCCCGAATAGCTCAGTGGTAACGTCTCTGACTGTGAAGCTGAGTGACGCGGGATCGAATCCGCCAGGGAGCATCAGTTCCCTCAAGATTACAGGTACACCTTGCTGACGAGTGCCAAGTAGCACGAAACCCGGGTCCAGGGTTTCCTGTTGACCACCTCCAACCACCATGTTACCCTAATATATATAGTGCCCGCAGTGTCGAGCCACCTAGACTGGTGGCCACATTGCAACTTGATCGATAGCATTCGATCAGCACTAAGGACCTGACACGCATGAGATTGATCACCACCCAGTGATCAATCAATTGTGATTAGATCTCAGTCCTACAGGAGGTTGGTCGCGGCCCGAATAGCTCAGTGGTAACGTCTCTGACTGTGAAGCTGAGTGACGCGGGATCGAATCCGCCAGGGAGCATCAGTTCCCTCAAGATTACAGGTACACCTTGCTGACGAGTGCCAAGTAGCACGAAACCCGGGTCCAGGGTTTCCTGTTGACCACCTCCAACCACCAGGTTAGACCTTCGCTAGGAAGCAAGCTGTAAGGACTAACTCAAGTCCAACGACCCACCACCCATATTACTGATGACTGAGGACTATGGTCTAAAGTCTTACCGTAAATACGGAAAAAATACTTTTTGAGTTAACCTTGCATTGGTAACATTGAAACACATTGTGGGCCAGTTCAACGGAAGAACTTCCCACGTGAACTTCAACAGTTTTATTTGACTCCATTTACAGTATGAAAGTAAAGTGTTTCCTCCCTCACCTCAAAAGCATACAAATATACTGAAACGTATCCAACGGCGAGCCACGAAATCAGTTTGGGGACTCAAATTCAAGGCTCATGAAGGGTGCCTCCAATCACTGGACCTTTACTTATCAAACTGTAGGCGTCTTGGAGGTGACTTTCTAATGACTTACAGCATCCTAAACACTTTAGTTCATTCTCCTTGATACCTACTTAACCTCAACCCCAACACAAACCTTAGGCATAACAACCAGATAATCAAGACACAACATAGCAGAACAGACTGTATACACACCTTCTACTCCTCAAGAGTAGTCAAATGCTTAAATTCACTGACGGACAAGCTAGTTCAGGCGAATTCTCACGAGACCTTCAACAGGAAACTGGACATATTCCGAAGGATAAAGAACAGTATCGCACTAAAATTTACTAATATTTCTCTTTTTATCGTCCAATATACACAAGTCCGAACCTGAGGACATGGGTGATTCATTGCTATTAAATACGGTAGCCTGTTAAGCAAAATCTTCTTCTATTCCGTCCAGAACCATTTGAAGCATTTGAAGATTTCAAATACGTAACAATACTACATTTCCAATCTGGCGTTATTATGAACCGTAGTGGTTCGGTTACCTAGTTGCCTTGTTCGTCCAAATATAAACACACTTTGTATTATGATCAGTTCACTGTAAGTATTCACGAAATCCTCTAGAAATACGTAGATTACTATGAATAAGTCAGAAAAAGTATTTATCTTTAGTGGTCGACGTAAGTAACCAAGGGGAATGTCAGTCTTCAGTGTGAACGTAACCAAGGGGAATGTCGATTTTAACCCCGAAGCATCGAGATAATTCAGTGTTGATGATAAAAGCCTATGTGGGCTTTAACAGTGAAATCAGTAAGTCTATGGACCTGCACTTGGCGGTGAATTCCAGAAAACAATGCTCCAAGTATAAGTATTTTGGTCTTAAGACAAATTAGTTTTCGAAAATTCCGAGATTATTCTGGATGATAAGTCCATCAAATAAATTACAGGGGAAGACATGTCTGTATCAGTATTCACAATTCATAGTACCAATCCTACATTGAACGTATCTAAAAACACTAATATCCTTGTGTTGGCGGAAAACTACTGTAATTTTTGACTTTACATCACATAACACTGAATTAAGCTACTTATAACGACAAAATAATGTTCAAACGTAGGCTTATGTTCTCTAGACGATTAAATTTCAGTCTAAAATTTTATTACTAGCTGTACTTGAGGACAAATCAAAGCTTGTGTAACTAACTTAAACCTTTTTAGACTAGGGGCTGAAGCTGCTAAAATTTTTACCGGTCAAAAATCCTCTTCCTCGAATAATTTTTACATTTTGTTAACTCGAATCACCACAATATATGAGGAACTTTTCTTTGTCCGTGAAAACATGGTTAACCCTCACCGTCCCATTAAATGTTAACAATCTCCATATTCAACTAAGAACTTGTATTATTTCCTCGCCTCCTTGTATTTGTCCTCAGTGTGCTTTATTGCCGTCATTTAAATTCACGATCATTTCATCACACAACTTAGCAAAGTCAAAGTATAATTGAATCGACAGACTTACATGTTGAAAATAAGAATGTTAGACTTTGGAAGATATCCTAATTATCAACATTTACACCGAAGTTCACTGTATTTGATTTATTCCAAAACATTCGCTTTTTCTATTTTAGGTTAGTCTTCTACGTGTAGTCAGAAATACTGTTGTCACTTGGTTCCCCTGTCCAATTAACATTCCCCTTACCGATTCACTTGTTGGACGCATTTTTTTCTGTGTTCATATGGAGAAGGAACATCGTGACGTCATTAGGAAGCTGCGCGTCTTTCTTGTGAAAAATATTTCAAACCTTGAAGAGATCCTCGATATACTGGAATCCGCACTAATTATTACTGAAAATCAACGCCATTCAATACTTTCTGGAGTAACATTAGCTGAAAAGATACGTAGATTCTTAGATGTTATAGTCAGATGTGGCCCATTAGCATATGACAGATTTAAGCAAGCTCTTCTGGAAACCAACCAAAAGAGTATATATGATCTTTTAAACGAAACAGAGGAACTAAAAGTTTTAACTGCTCATGGTATGTCATCAGAATGCTTATCTGATAAAAAAGACGAATCCATCATGATTCCAGATAGAGTTAGCTCACATCCGTTGACACCCTACACGGTAACTTCGTTTCCGCGTGGTTACGTTCTCATAATAAATATAGAAGATTACAATTGTGAATCCGGAGTACCTAATCGCCATGGTTCGTCACATGATGCATCTAAACTCCAAATTCTTTTTGAAGACTTTATGTATAGTGTTGCTGTCATTAAAAATCTAGAGGGTGAGAAACTTAAAAAAGTAGTGCGAGAATTCGCCTGCAAACCAGAGCATAGTAACGTACATGCGGCTGTCCTTATTATTTTAGCACATGGGTTAGAACATCATATTATAGCAAGTGACGGTACCCATGTTAGCATTGACGAACTGGTTGGTTGTTTTACTAACAAAAGATGTCCTCTCCTAGCTGGAAAACCTAAGCTCATACTTATACAAGCCTGCAGAGGTGAAGAACGTAATCATAATGGTCTTGTAAAGCGTGATTTTCAAGATTCTTTACTATCAAACTCTTGTGAAGTTTCATTAGATCCCAGCTCATGGTTGTCGCTGCCACATATGAGTGACTGTGTAATTGTGTATTCTACCTTACCTGGATTTGTTTCTTGGCGGTCTGAAATAGAAGGGAGTTGGTATGTGAAGGTGTTCGTCGAAGTAACAAGGCTGCATGGACACAGGCTTCACATTCTTGAGCTGTTAACAGAAGTCAATAATAGGCTTGTGTCAGAGGCATCAAACTATGGCATCAAACAAATATCACAACCAGTAACAACACTCACTAAGCCCTACTATTTGTCCACTCTGAAAACTTGAAAAAATTTTGTATCCAGAAATATAGTAATCTACTTTCACCCCATTGCTACTAGCTTTATTCTCTGCGGAAGTTGTGGGATAAGATCGATGATTGTGATTAAACGTAAAGATTATTTTTACGATTACCAATGCATGTGCATTCGAAATCTTTCTTAACAAATAAATGTTTTCCCCTAGCATATTTTGGATCCACCCATTTTCGCTTACGTTGTGAAGGCGTGTATGCTCAATAGTTTACGGTACCATTAACCAGGACAGCTAGATATTCCCATTACAACTCAGTAAAACATAACTGTGTAGTTTGTCGGTCGGCGCTTGCGAGTGACGGTTAGCATGCTGTTCAAATACTTTCGCCGACGTGAAATTGCCCTACACAGTAGGTAAATCGAACTTGAATCTCTGGACACCTATATATAATCCCATACACAAACTACATGGCTCATAATTCTTTAACAGTGCTTATGCATGTGGTTTAAATTTTCTGTTACGGACAAGTCTTTGGGACTTGATTTGCATATTCCGGATGACACAGGTGCACATATTTTGCCTTGATGTTTTTAAATCTTGTCTAAGACAGAACTGCTTCTGTATTTGTGCGCAGTCTAAAGGAGTATATTTCACGACAACAGTAGACAAGATACCGAAAAGTATGGAAACGTCGTATTGCAATCACCTTTTTATATCACTTCAAAGAAATTACAAAAAAAATCTGGAAGTAACTATATACAATATTCCTGTGAGAAGAAATGTTTGAAAAAGAAATTTACAAAGTCAAAAGATTAAGAAATTTAATACTGAGCACGGGTCATCAACTCAGCAAATGTAACAGGAAGCCAGCCACCATCACTGGGATTGTACACATAACTGACGTTGCGGTCGAAAAACACTTGTAGTGATTCGAGTCTATATACTTGTTGACCTTCAAACATCCGGTTTGAAATAGGATGGAACAGGAAACCGCGCTGCGCTGCTACTTGTTCAACTTGTTTACGTAGTGTTGTTGGAGGAGGAGCAACCAAAGGTGTTGATCCAAAAGCTGGTGGAAGTACGCATGATGAGCCAGCAGGAAACCTTGACACATCTGACTGACTTTGCTTTGAGATCTGAGGTTCCTAAATAAAGTGCAACAACGTACACAAGACTTAAAGCAAGTTAGTTTATCTTACGTTTACAAATAAGGTACGGTTTTTTATCCGGACGTAACTACTCCCATTATCTGGTACTTTTGGAAGATGTCAGCAGTATTGTTTAGCAAAACGACTTGAAAAACAGTAAAACATGGTGTGACGTGAGAAAACTGGAAAATTCGATAAGCTGTACATGTACTTGGCTTCGTGATAATTACTTTGTAAATTACATACTCATAGGTTACGCGTTTTCTGACATCAAGTAATGCGTATGTGTAATTAGGAGTTACACATTTGCATTGTGGGAAACTTCGTTGCGTAATCATTACGGGTGTAACTGATACATATTACGATCTTAGAATTGATTTGAAATTATTTTAGGTGTGAGATGTCTATGGTTAAATCAAATGAATTAATTTACTTGATAAACAACATTTATCTGAATTCTTGAAAGCCATTAGAACTTAGGTAATGGCATTTTGAGTTTACCTACTTTTTAACGAAATTGTTGCATCGCAGATCCACCTGATCAAAACTGAGTGAATATACAATTAAGACGAATTTATGATTAATTAGCCACTTAAATAACTCAACAAACAGTATTTAAAAGGACATCTCAAAGAGTTCAGACCTATGATAACTTACTTGAGGCGGTAACCCTCTCATTGACCGTTCCATCATTGCCAAAGCTTTTGTCAAAGCGTCTTTGACACTTGCATATTCCATACACTCAGGAGGTAACTGACCTTTCCAACCAGCATACCAACGTCCAACTTCTTGATAAACTTGACCGGCAGCTACGTGGTCTCCTCGTTGCCTAGCTTCCACCCCCTGATTCAGCCAGCTTGAAAGGACTGACAGCCAACGTGACCAGAAATGATGTTCAAGTAGGTTTACAAGTACAGCTGGGCCAATCAGGTCTGCCCAACGCATTACCCAGTTCCACGGATCCATGTTTTGCTTAGCGGGATTAAGCTAAATATCAGAAAATGTTTGAAAAAAATATTGCATAGAAACGCTCGACATCAGAGGTGTAGTCATAAGTAAGTTCCTAACATATTAGTCCCTAAGTTAAAAATTATGTGGAAACTCCTTAGGAATCCATTAAGTGCAACAACAGTAATAAATAAAATGTGAGTAAGAAAGGTATTGTCAATCCTTTTTGAAGTTTTGGCCTCCAATCAACTGTTTTGTTTCTAGTATTTCCGAGATTATGTGAAAGACTACATTCTATCATGACATAAAATGTACTAGACATGTATATACTTGCCAGACTGAGCAGACCTTTCTTACATCTACTATTTGTAGCTTAGTATACACGCCCAGTATTGGTAATTGATTCATATTACTGAATGAGATATTTTTATCGAGTTTAAGTAGACGACCTCATTAGATTTCCTTTAGGTATCTTTTAATCACATTCTAAAAGCTGATGTCAAACGATGCATATTTTTAGTTTCTAGCAATAATTAGTACGTGAAGTGGAGTTCTGTATGCAGAAACCTCAGCAATTAAAGTTAAGTAGTCTCAAATATTTTGTCAGTAATCTTCAGAGAAATTACTGCCATATTTGGTACATTCGAACACCAGAAATCTATGTGCCACAAATAAGGGATAGGCTTCATGTCGAAAAGTGAACAAGAATAGGAAATATAATCCAGTTAAGAATACAACAAATAGATTCCCAGTGGACGAAGTTCATCTTTTATTGAGATCTCCACAGAAAATGTTACTTTGATTATCTTCATATATTTGGCGATCATAATTTATGAGTGCAAGCGTTCGTTTAAATTTTGATGAGGGTTTATCTAAACTTGTGGACGCCAATTAGAGTGCAGCGAGTTATCGATTGGACCAATGACACACGAAACCTGTACGAGCAGTCTAGAGTACTTGTCGGTCCTGCTTTCTGCCTAACCAAGCCAGTTAAGTCCAGAACACCAATCTCAGCCTCTGTGGTATGAATCATTTATTTTGAACATACTGGGTTTATATGTCAAACAGACAGACCACATTGTACCATAAAATAGGAAAACAACATTTGTACAGGATTTAGCCAAATGTGACTGTGAATAAGGGAGATAGTAAATGATAGACAAGGCATAATGCAAGAATAGTAAATCGTATAACAATAGTTATTTAACAATTATACGATAAAAATATATGCATAGTATTGGTTCACAAATGGATCCCAAAGTAACCATTCACTATTCCTATCAGGACATAACAAAACTAAATTATACTATTATAAAATACGATAATAACTCCGCTTGTACCCCCTCCGGGAGTTACTGCCTGTCTAAAGCCCGGAGGGGAGTTAGGCATGGTATTAGCGACCCCATCCTGTAGAAAACTAACTCACCAAAAAAACGCTAACCAGAAAAAATTATTTAAACTCTGCCCTGGGAGTCGGATGGTCTTCATTTAGAAGGATGATGCCTCATGGTGAAAGCCGAGTCCCTTCGGGAGTCACAAGGCCGATTCCCCTTCTAACAACCAGAGCAACCATTTATTTAGGTACATGGAATGCTCATACAATGTGAGAAACCGGGAGTCTGCCAAATTGCTGCATAAATGAGGAAATACAAGCTAGAGGTGCCTGTGATCAGTGAAACACATTGGACGCAGGTTGGACAACGACTATTTTCAGGAGAGCTTCTGTTATACTTCGGCTATGAAGAGGAAAATGCCCCACATACACAAGGAATCGCATTGATGCTATCTAAACAAGCACAAAATGCAATTATAGGATGGGAATCTCATGAACCAAGGATCATCAAAGCCACCTTCGAAACAAAGAAAGGGCATTAAAATGAACGTCATCCAATGCTATGCGCCTATCAACAACAACAATGAAGACGTTAAAAATCAATTCTACGATAGACTGTAGTCAATCATCGAGAAGTGTCCAACAAAGGATCTGACCACTCTGATGGGAGATTTAAATTCCAAGGTTGGAATGGACAACACCGGATAAGAAGACGACATGAACTGAGAGAAAGGAACAAAACTGGTGAGATTTGCCAACCTATGTGCCTTCAATAAACTGGTCACAGGTGGCACCATATTCCCACACAAAAACATATACAAAGCCACTTGGATTTCACCGGATCACACTACACAGAACCAAATCGACCATACCTAAATCAACAAAAAGTTTAGGAGGACGATGGATGTGAAAACCAGGAAAGGAGTTGATATAGCATTAGATCATCACTTGCTGGTCGTCAAGATGAAATTAAAATTAAGAAGCACTGGACAACGTCACAAAAGTTTAATACGGCTTTTCTTCGGGATAATGACAAACTCAAGATAGTCCTCAGCAACAGCTTCCAGGCCTTTCATGATCTACTCAATGGAGAGCAACTGGAAAGGGGTAAAAGAGACAATCACTTCAACATGTCAGGAGGTTCTGGGCCACAAGAAGCACCATCACAAGGAATGGATTACTGTTGATACACTGTATAAGATTCAAGAAAGGAGGATCAAGAAGGCAGCCATCAATACCAGATGAACAAGAGCAGAAAAAGCCAAAGCACAAGCTGAATACACTGAAGTAAACAAGCAGGTGAAGAGGAGCATCAGAACCGACAAAAGTAAATATGTGGAAGATTTAGTAATGACGGCGGAAAAGGCTGCAAGAGAAAGAAACATGAGACAATTAAATGATACAACAAAGAAACTCTCTGGAAATGACTGTAGACCAGAACGACCAGTGAGAGGCAAGGTAATTACCAACACTGAAGAAAAACGAAACAGGTGGATAGAACATTTCAAAGAACTCTTGAATCGACCAGCCCCACTGAACCCACTTAAGATCGGAGAAATCGGCATGGCCACCAGACAAATCAAGAGCAGCAGGACCAGACAACATTCCAGCAGAGGCACTAAAAGCAGATGTAGCAGCAACTGCAAAGATACTCCACATTCTGTTCAGGAAGATTTAGGATGAAGAACAAGTACCAACAAACTGGAAAGAAGGATACCTAATCAAAATACCAAAGAAAGGCGATCTCAGCAAGTGCGATAACTACAGGGGCATCAGTCTTCTCTCAATACCAGGAAAAGTCTTCAACAGGATGTTGTTAAACAGGATGAAGGACTCCGTAGATGCCCAACTCCGAGACCAACAGGCTGGATTCCGTAAGGGTTGATCGTGTGCAGACCAAATCGCAATACTACGGATCATTGTGGAACAATCAGTTGAATAGAATTCATCACTCCACATCAACTTCATTGACCACGAGAAAGCGTTTACCACCATGGACAAGACAATACTATGAAGGCTTCTTCGACACTATGGCGTGCCTGTCTGAAAAGATAGTCAATATCATACGGAATCCCTATGATGGATTAAACTGTAAAATCGTCCATGGAGGATAACTCACTGACTCGTTTGAGGTAAAAACTGGTGTCAGGCAAGGTTGCTTACTCTTACCCTTTCTCTCTCTCCTGGTTATCGACTGGATTATGAAGACATCAACATCTGGGGGGAAGCATGGGATATAGTGGACAGCTAGGATGCAGCTGGATGATCTAGACTTCGTGGATGATCTGACTCTTCTATCGCACATGCAACAATAAATGCAGGAGACGACGACCAGTATAGCAGCAGTAGGTCTTAATATACACAAAGGGAAAAGCAAGACTCTTAGACACAACACAACAAGCATCAATCGAATCACACTTGATGGAGAAGCTTTAAAGTTTCTAAAAATTCTACGTACCTAGACAACATCATTGATGAACACGGTGGATCTGATGCGGATGTGAAGGCGTGGGTCGGCAAAGCAAGAGCAGAATATCTACAACTGAAGAACATTTGGAACTCAAAACAACTGTCAACCAACACCAAAGTCAGAATTTTCAATACAAATGTCAAGACAGCTCTTCTGTATGGGGCGGTAACTCGGAGAACTACGAAACCCATCATCCAGAAGATACAAGTGTTTATTAACAGTTGTTTACACTAAATACTTTGGATCAATTGGCCAGACACTATCAACAACAACCTACTGTGAGAGAGAACAAACCAGATTTCAGCGGATGGAGAAGAACTGGAAGTGGATAGGACACACATTGAGGAAAGCACCCAACTGCGTCACAAGGCAAGCGCTCACATGGAATCCTGAAAGCCAATGGGGAAGAATGAACAAAAGTTGGATAGGACTAGAAAGGAAGGCCCAGGACAGAGTGGGTTAAAGAATGCTGGTCGACGGCCTGTGCTACATTGGGGTTAACAGGCGTAAGTAAGTAAAATACGATAATAAATACTTAAGATATTAAGCTAAAGATCAACGTGCATTTTAAAAGCTGATAACAGATTACTTACACCACAAAAGAAATATGAAGATTGTAGTCAGTCTATTACAACGAAATGAGAAGTATACGACCCCACTGGGTTTATTAGGAGCCAACTAGGAAAAAGGGATTCTGTGAATGTACTGACCAGTTAACAGGTGAGATTTAGCGATCAAATTAAAAAGGTTGTTAAGGCCAAACTACTGTAAATGAACGAGTAAAAACTAACTTGAAACTGTTGTAACGCTAAAGCAAGTTTCGGCACTACATGGCGACTTAAAAAAGCTGCCATGGACGTGACCGGGAAAATGGTTCGCCAAGGCATTAGGACTGAGCGGGCAGATGCATCACTAGGATGCCAGTTAGTAAGGCAGCTTCCTAACTTCTGGAGAACCATATCATGTAAACATGAGAGACGTTCGACTCCTCCAAACCAAGGTAGCCACGGATGCAACCAAGTGTGAACAGGTACTGTATCAGTTAACGGATTCCATGAAGAAACAGCATCCTAAAAGTTGGACATGTTTAGAAATAACGTAGTAAGAAGGAATTACAGAAACATATGAAAAGTTAGCAAGCGACAGTGTTACTACTTTGTCTTAAAAAAATAAGACTCACTATTTACAAGTCGAGTGGTTTAATAATTACCATGTACAATACAAAAGAACACTCGACATTTACCTTAGCTGTGAATCAAACAGGCACTAATATATGAAATTTAGTGTTAGCTGAATTAACTTAGTCAACAAAACTTCGAACCACGTTACCGAAAACGATCGTGAGCTTGGTATATGCTAAGCAAATTTGTGTGCACATCTGTAGTTATCCAGAGAAAAAGGTAAAAACCAACGACTACAGATATTGGTAGACAAAGTTGATAGAAACACCAGGAGTACTGAATACATTCCTTACAAAATATTGAATCTTGAAGTTATATGATACCTGAGTTTATTTTTGTAAGATTTTAATCTTTTTAAAATGTTTTAGTGTTAATTACCTCAAGTCTTACTTCATGAAATCACTACATATCATAAATGTATAGTGTAAGAATTTGGGTCCACTGCGCATATGTACCCGGTACCCATGTTGCTCACGACTAAATATGAAATATAGCAATATACTAATAACTGCAAGCTAAAAGTAGCCTTTGAACATCCTTTATTTTAAGCTACGGACAAGCATTTCACTGAAAATAAAGTGAAATAACTAATTACGACTAAACAGCGAGTATTAGATACTGATTACAATTACGGTCATTGCACAATATCAACGAACAATACCGAGGAAGCTATCGGAAATAAATCTAAATTCAACGAACCTGTAATTTTGGAAGAATCAGCTGGTCGAGTATTTTGCGCTGCAACATATCATCCGGTAACAAAGGTTGCCAGGCTTCGAGAACATCCAAGAGAGGTTCGCAGTCCCGAGGATTCCATTCGTTAACAATAGTGCGGCGTATAGCGCTCAACCAGCTTGTTTCAAGTATAACATCAAATGCACAAGAATTTTGGAAGAAATCTCTCCAGTGTCCCAACAAATCGAGACAGAATGTAGGTTCCTAATTTGGGTATGTTAAAAGAATTAATAATAAGGACTCACATGACGACCGTCATACTCATGCAACGCACCAAAAACACTAGGAAAATCAAACCACAAAACAGATAAGATTATTACTTAATTTACTGGTGTCGTACTAATATTGTACTGAATATTTTTGAACGCTAATAAATATATGTAACAGTGAGTGGTAGTAGATATGCGTTCAAGACGATTCATATGTTTAGTGATGACAATATGGTTTGATTATAAACAAGATGTCGTATAGTGTTAGAAGTTTGAGGGCAGTTTTCACTTTCCGGTTGCTCACATCGTGAAATGACATTCCCTCCTGAAGAGCCTGGAAAGGAAACTGGGTCAGTAGTGGACTTAGCAACCTGGGAGTTTGATAAAACCCGCTGTACAGCTGTTTGAGGCCGATCACAGACCGGCTCTTTATGGGCAGTTTTTATCGTGTTGGTTCCATACTTACAAAGATCATACAGCGGGAGACAAAAATTCATGAGATACAGTGAGTTGTGACATTCTTAGGGTGAAACTCTACTAACTCCTTTCCATTTTAAGAGAAGGCGTCGCTGCAGTTTCTGGTTACCTAACAGAAACAGCTTACTGTCGTCACATCTATACAGCTAGTAGCATTATTTCGACCTCGGACCTTAATTTGTTGCTTTAAGTCTTACTGTTACTCCAAACGACCTGTTGGCATATTAGAACCTAAAGGAATAAATATTCCAGTCAATATACCTCAGTTGAATCTAAGAAAACAAAACTCCAAAACTCTTACTTTCAGCTACAAATATTATCCATTAACACAAAATCTGCGCCAGATTAATGAGTTTCAGCAGAAAATTGTATCAATCTGGCAAAAATTAGATTCGCATTTCGATTCAAAGTCAAGTAGGTTCACATTTAACCAAAAATAAAAAAACAGTCAGTATCAATTGAACACAACTACTGTATACACTAAGAAAAAAATCTGGAATTTTCATGAAATATACAATTGATAATACGGAATAGACTACATGAAAATCCTGACATATTTAATAAATTTTATTCATTAAAATTCCATTCAAACCATTTTTAAACTGATTATTGCTTTGCCTCAGAGCAAGACATAAATTCATAGAGATGAACTAATGAGATTTTCCTGATAAAAGTTTCGCATTGATAAAGCTGGGGAGCATAACAAAAGCAAAAATACATCACCCACCTTAAGAGGATTCCATTTAGCAAGTGAATTATCCAACATTGGGCGGGCGATTGACGCTATGAGAACAGGCATTTCTACTAAGTTAGCACATTCCTCACGTATAAGTGACACCCAAGACGAGATAACTTCCGAGGTTAAGTTCGTATCACAGCCTGAATGAAATGTAAATTCATCCTCAAACTTCTTTATTAAAATTAAAGCTTTATTGAGTTGATTCACTTCAGATTCTTCTCCGTTAACTATCTGAAAGTTTATGAAAAGAACAAAATTCATCATAGAAAATATCGACAACATAAATAAGTTAATATTTTGTCAGATGTGATCCAGACTATCCAAACAGTGGTGTATGATTTCGGACAAAATTTACATGTACTATAATCCCATACACCCATAAAGTGTTTTGTAATTGATCTATGATCGCCGAAAAGAAAAATTAATGAACGTCTTCAAGCCGAACAAAATTCTGTAGAGCACTGCATTTAAATTGCAATTAACTAAAACAGACAAGATGTGTAGAAGCACTAAATCTCACATTTACTTATTTGAACATGTGAACATTAATACAAGGAGGAACCAATTACAAATGAGCAACACAATAACAATGAGAATGTGAGGAGATAGGGAATGTAAAGTATATATAACAAAAAGGTGAGCAACAAGGAACAGAAATTGGTATGAGAGTGAAATAATAATAGTAATACGAAGAACAGTTCAGTTAGCAAAAACACAACAAGAAAGAATGCCAGTTAAAGAAGTTACGTCCACTTTTTATGGAGAAAGTAAAAGAAAATTACTGCAAGATCGCCACTGGCTTTTGTTCTGAGCTATATCTGATAAAGTCTGAAGCTACTGTGTTAGATCATCTCTAGGACCCCAATCAAGGAGTCGTGAAGGATCGACAGAAGCCAGTCCTGTACAGCTTTCTTTCATACCACGACATCATGTCATACACTGACCACCTCTCCGCTTTTCCCAACCAGTCCCAGCGTCGGCAAATAATGCACAACGTGGAATTCTCTGGGACAACATTCGTAGGAAATTTCCAAGCCACCGAAGTCAATTTTTCAAGATAGTGACACTAATTAAATTGTCATCTCCGTCCCCGAACACACGACGCTGAACCTGTGCATTGCTAACATAGTGTTGTCACCGGATGTCAGCAGTCCTTAAGAGACATTAATGGTCATCTAAGCTCCTCAACTCAGAGAGGCCAGGTTTCACAAGGATAGAGCGAAACTGCTTTCACTGATGAGTTGTAGATCCTACCTTTTACAGTCAGATTAACATCACACAGGCACCGAAGATGGCCCACATTGGCATAAGCCGCTCTGGCTTTCTTTATACGTGAATTGAACTCATCACTCACGCTACCACCAGCACTTATACAGCTACCCAGATACATGAACTTATCGACTACTTCTATCCGCTCACTACCCAGAGTAAGTGCAGGATCAGGGTGCCATCAGTCTTGTAAAAGTACTTTACACTTCGAAGGTGCAAAACACATACCATACCTACAGACACTGGTTTGGGTATTATCGCACAGTAAGACAATATCATCCGCATACTCAAGGTTGGAAAATCATTCTCCAAGCAACAGATCCACACCATCACTACCCACATTCATCAGAGCTGTTTCCAGAACATCCATAGAAAAGTTGAAGAGGAATGGTGGATTTGAGCAACTCTGACTAACCCCACTGCTTGAATGGAACAATGGAGAGAGGTGGTTGTATGCCCTCACTCTGCCTGAGGTGTTTGTATACAGGGCTTTTAAGATGCTAATAAACCTCTCAGGCACACCCTTATTCGATAGATAATCCCAGAGAACAATCTTGCCCAACGAAGGCAGCCCTAATGTCAAGAAACACTACGATTGTTGGCTTGTGATAAGTATGACAGTGTTCTAACATCTGGCGGAGGGTAAAGATATGATCAATACATCCTCCACCAGAACGAAAACCAGTCTGTCCCTCACGAGTCAATCTTTCTCGGGTTTTGAACAACATACGAAGTATGACGCCAGCTAATAGTTTGGACGCGATCGGAAGTAGACTTATTCCCCAATAGTTGTTGCAGAAATGACGTGAACCCTTTTTAAAGATAGAAAAAACTATCGACACCTCACATGATGTTGGAACACCCTCTAATTGTCAGACCTTTGTAAAAAAAACTCAGTTAGTTCGTTAACCAGAAAGTCACCACCATCTTTAAAAAGGGTCAGAGGTAAGTCATCTAGGCCTGGTGATTTGTGGCGCCTCAAGAGCTAGAGTTTCTTGAGTACGTCCGCTTGGTTAGATGGATCAGTTGTCGCAGGCCATGGAGGTCAGGACAGTCTGATCGGTGTTGCCGGAGTAGCAGACCAGTTGAACTGCTCCTCGAAAAACTTCATCCATCGTCCAAGGCGTCGATAGATGTTAATGACTAGCATCCCGTCATCTTCACAGGTTGTTTTGCTCACACCAGACTTCTTGCTGTGATTGACTCGGGTGAGATGAGAGCTTTCAGCAGTTACCAGATGCAGTTGCTGCTTCCAACTTATTGGCACACTCCAATCACCAGGCTTCTCGGTCCTTAAGCAAACTTTGCCATTCCATTACGTAACAGTTCTCGTTTAAAGTCAAACTCACGGTCATCCAAAGTAGGCCGACGGGCTTCAATGAGTTGTAGGGAGCCTGAGGAAACCAAGTACTTATAAGCGAGACGTTTTGCGTCATGGAATTGCAACCAATGCTCATCTATACTTTTCTGTAGAATGGTAGCTAGCCTTGAACCTAGCTCAATTTGTTATCTAGTTGCAACAGAAGCTGCAACCAATTTGCTGACATCAATCCGTTTAGGACGATGAATTTCTTGGCCACTGAAACGTGAGGTAAAATTAGCGCAAACAAGGGTATGATCAGAGTCCAGATAGGTACTCAAAAAGGAGCATCAGTCTTGTACACAACCATGCCAGCGGTAGCTGATCACGATGTGATTAATCTGGGTCCATGCTTGAAATGTAGAGGGAGGACGCTAAGTGACACATCGACGATGACTGTGCTGGTAGTTAGTACTAGCTGGAAACGGGTTGTAGCCTGCGCACAGTCAGTCAGTCAGCTACAACGTAGGACCAGGAACATTTATGCATCGGTTCAAGTTGCCATACCTCGTTAGCACAAGATGAACACCGGATTCATAGAAGTTAATTTAGTGATGGTAATATATAAAAAATAGGTTGTATATAAGGATATAGTATAGGAAGGAAGACAGATATGAGGCAATTTTAATCTCACCGTTTAAGGGGAGATAAAGAGTGTATACACCTACGCCATTGTGATCGATTTTGAGCCATGTCACCTAGAGTCTCCAACCATTGCTTACGATAGTCGCGTGGACCCCAACCAAGTAGTCTGCATCTACCAACATGGCTTAGACTAGAAGTTAGTGACTTCAAGCTCTGATGCTACGTTTTGGTTTGGCCGCCCCTAACTATCTTCAAACCATCCCCAATACTAGTCAGCATAGCGCAGTTGCAGTAGGCGATCCCCGTTATCTGATCTGAGACCAATAAGTCTCCGTCAACCACTTAAACGACTCTCTTCTGTGCCTAGACGCCCAACCTGTACATTCAAGTCTCCGGCTAGTACTACAATATCTGTCGAACGCGCTTTCTGGAGAAGAACAGTTAACTGATGGTAAAACTCATCCTTGATTGCATCCGGGCTGCAATCTGTCGGGGCATAGGCGGAGACGACGAAAAAACATCGTTTCTTACACCGATTTCTTCGTACTTTGATAGAATTTTCTAATCTAACAACATATAATCGACTGTTAATGAGGATCCAGTCGATTAGTGCTGCCTCAGCTCTAGCGCTTAGTGTGACACCAACGCCAGCAAAACCAGATGAAGATGCCATAGGGTCCCTGGATAGGTGTACGTGAAATAAGCTTTTCGAAGAGACAGAGCGAGTTTGTAGTACTTCACTAGATTCTTGAATACAGGTCTCTGATGGACAACAGACATCGATATTAAGACTTTCTAAAGACATAGCCAACCCTATCTGTTTCCCGATCTGCATTAATGTGCGAACGTTGAAGGAGGCCGGTTTGAATGGTATACGTGGTTTCAGTATTTGTGTTCGGTGGTAGCACTCAACTTTTGACCAGTCAGTGACTCGAGATCGTTTAGATAGCACGGTATTTTCACCATAGGCGATCTGCTGTATAAGTTAAAAAATAAAATACGCAAAATGAGAACAAAGGGGAATGTATAAGTGATGTAGTATAGAAGAAATGAGAATAAATGTTACCAAAAGATTTTTAATTGCCTAAATTTTAATTGAAGCAAGAATAGTATTTCCAGTAGTAATTGTCATTTCATTCGATCTGTGTGAGGGCTGGGATACTGTCCGCGTACCCAAATCGAAACAAGTGGTTTTCTTAGAGGGCTACACACTAAGCCTTTGATCTAAAGGTCTAATCCATAAGACAGTGGAGAAACATCAGGAGATGCAGTCACATGGTAGTCGGTGACCAACGATTGGTTTATACGCCATTTGTTCCTTCAGGATAATACAACCAATGTGCATCACTAGTTTGGAATCATCGTTTTCCAATTCCTCTAGGTGGACTCTCCGTATCCACCGATTCGGTCAATGCGCCGGACATGCGCTTTTTATCCTCTCAATTTCGTAAACAACACCCTCGCCACAAGAAGATAATAAATAGGACTTCTTTGAAAGTGGCCGTATACGCGTGGCCATGTGAGATTATTCATTTACCAGGCGATAAATTCGCTAATCAGAATACGACTTAAGCAATCTTGGCACTGTGCCAAACGAATGGTGAATTGACCGGTATGAGAAGCCTAGTGCCCGTATTGGTCGTTTTTCTGCCTAGCCCTGCCTGTTGAGTCCAGAACGCCAATATCAGCTTCCACTATATGAATCAATTATTTCAGACGTACTTAGTTCATATACAAACTAACCAGGCTGCCTCGTACTATAAGATAAAAATAATAATTATTATACGAGATCAAGCCGGAAAGTGGTTGTGATTGTGAGGGACTGTAACTAATAAATTGGGAATATCTTAAGAATAGTATATCATATGATAATGGTCGATACGTCAAATAAAATCTTATAATAAAAGAATTATGAATATACATATAATAGCAGTTATACAATAAAAATATAAGTACAATATTAGTCCATAAAGAGTTTTTAACGGTTACCACTCATTCATTCTTCGTCCAGATATAATAGTTTCCACGTCATATCATATAGTTTTCCATATTTTCTTCCATTGCAGCTTTTTCTGCTGTCATTACCAGGTCTTCCACATATTTTTGATTGTTAGTTCTAATGCTCATCTTCACTTGCCTGTTTGCTTCTGTGTATTCGGTCTGTCCCGTTTTTCTCTGCTGCTGTTCGTCTTTTTTACTGCGGTACTCTTGTTCTTGCTTTGTCGAATCCAAAGCAGGGTTTCGGTAGAGATCCATTCCTTATTTCGATGCTTCTCGCGACCCAGAACCTCCTGGCAGGTTGAAGTCAGTGCTTCTCTAATCGATTTCTAATTATCCTCTAAGGTACTTTCCTCTTCCGTGAGGCTTGGAACTTGTTGCTAAGATTTATCTTGAGTCCGTTGAGTTTGTCAATATCTCGAAGGAAGGCTGTATTGAACCTTAGTAATGCTTTTTTTCCAGTTGTCCAGTATTTCTTCAGCTTTAGTTTCATCTTGGCAACCATCAGGTAGAGATCTAAAGCTATGCTAGCTCTTTTCTTTGTTTCTGATTGTAAGTGTCTCCGGAGAGTTACTGAAGTACTTTAGGACGACATAGTGAATGATGCTGATGTCGTACTACACACAGATGGCAAATCAGTTTATGAGGCTGTAGATTTTCAACTGAAATGGGACATACAGGTGTCGCGTAAACCCGACCACCGTCTATTTGATGCGTAATCCTGATCAGTAAAGGATTAAGATGGAAGATAACTGAAGATGATCAAACCAAGAAGTCGTATCAGTCCATAAATTCATTAGCAGTTGATGTATGCCGTATTGTTTGGTCATAGAGAATCAGATGCATCGATTCCTCGTCTTCCCTTAGATTCTAAGCTTAAATATTCCTTATTTGTTAAGTTACTGATTTTCACAACTTAACCAAGAACATTCTCATCGAAATATAATGGCAGTATTACAAAGAATGAAAAAGTCATATCTTTTGCTAATTTGAGAAAATGGAAAGCTAAACAGACCTCAGTTAATTTTTCGATTTCATGTTCTAAACCAACTGCGCGATCTTCCTCGAATCTAGCAGCCCGATCAAACCTCTTAATTTTATCTTCAGCAGACCGCATTATCAGAGCGAAATTGTGTCGCAGAGCAGGACAATCAAAAAAATTCCCTTCCAACCTTTTTTCGATTCGTTTACCATCAACATCTGGATCTTCTTCATCTGACAGAGTAGAATTATCTCCCGGTTTCCGGCGCCTTTGCACAACACGAGATAAAGCAGCTTCATAACCAGAGTATACCTTTTGCTCTTTACTTGTCATATCGATAACCTTTACTTTGGACAATTCACTAAATAAACAAAATATAATAAATAGGTTAAAAAAGATTAAAGCAGTCAACTGGAAAACTGACAATTTCAAAACTAGAGACACCTAGGTTAGACTAACATGAATGAAATACCACTATTTTATCAAGTTAAAAGTTTTATTAACTGTCTAGAGATATTATTGAATAGCATGGGTTCATGTAATTGGTTTTAAGCCATAACTTCGTGTAAAGGTTGGTGGTACCACTGTAAACAAATGAATATAAATATGGAATTCATACGACGGACTACAGTGCAAAGTCGTGCATTGAGGACAGCTCACAGATTTATTCCAATTGAGGACCGTTACCAGATAAGGTTGTTTACTCATGCCTTTTTTTTCTTCTGGTAGTTGACTTGATCATGTAGACGACCACATCTGAGGAGAATACAATGGATGCAGCTAGACGATTCGAACTTTGCAGACCACCCAGCTCTTCTGTCCCAGACACACCAAAAAATCCAGGTGAAGATGGCCAGTGTATGAGCAGCATCTGCATCGGTAGGCCTCAACATACACAAAGGACAAACCAAGATCTTCAAATACAACATGGAGAACACCAAGCCAATCACGCTACACGGGGAAGCCCTGGAAGAGGTGGAAACTCTCACGTACCTAGGCATCATCATCAACGGACAAAGAGGATCTGATGCAGACGTAAATGCAAGGATTGGCAAAGCAAGGGCTGCATTCCTACACTTGAAAAACATATGGAACTCAAAACAACTGTCTGCAAGCCAACATTAAAGTCGGAATCATCAATACTAACGTCAAGACAGTTCTACTGTACAGAGCTGAAACGTGGAGAACTACCACAACCATTATCAAAATAGTACAAGTATTTATAAAAAAATTGTCTACGCAAGATACTCAATATCCGTTGGCTGGATACCACCAGTAACAACTTACAGTGGGAGAGAACAAGACAACTTTCAACTGATGAGGAAATTAGGAAAAGACGATGGAAGTGGATAGGATATACACTGCGGAAATCATCAAACTGCATCACGACGCAAGAGATAACTCTGAACTCTGGCAAAGGACAAGAGGAAGACCATGGAATACGTTGCGCCGGTAACTGTAGGCAGACATAAAAGAATGAATAGCAACTGGAAAGGATTGCGCAAGTCAGAGTGCAATGGAAAATAGTGGTGGGCGGCCTACGCTCCTCCATGACAAGCAACAGGTGTAAGTAATATATATATATATATATATATATATATATATATATAATCTCAAATAGTACCTACCTGTTCTCTAAGAAAATCCCATATCGCCTGACAGCTGTAGCAGGGGTTGCAGGACAAAGATCTGCGACTAATTCCTCAGCAGTTTTATACTCCTGTATAGGCTTTGATGCTTGACTGCGCTGTAACCCAGGCCTCTTTTTGTAACGTGGCCCGACTACGTGAAATACAGGAAAAAATTACATACCCATTATAATGTACTTCTAAACCAGTTTTATAGCATAAAAAAGCCTCATCCTTTGATATCAATTACAGGAAAAGCATTTAATAATTTAGTGACATTATGAAAGCTTATTTTGATCCTTCTATTGTATGCACAGTATTTTATACATACGAGAGCGATGACATCATGCTGTGTTGAGGTATGGCAGAACTAAAGTTGAATACCTTTAGTCCTGATTTTTGTCCTCAACAACGACGCCAAAAATCATAATGTATCACTAAAACTTTCGTGGAGTACGTCTAGAAGACGTCTGATGAGTAAACGTGAAAATTAACGATGGAAACACACAATCTAGTGTCCGTCGAGTTAACTAGCGTAAAGAACAGAAATATGACTGGTACCCGAAGTCTAAAATTCAGTAGATGTTTTTTTTGAATTTACGGTACCATCGTAGTTTAACATCCTATGCTGTAAGCAATGTATGATCACTTCTATTTTGCTTTATACCTTTGTATATGAGGTAGTGTTTTCTTATCGGAAAGTTAACGCAATTTTAATTGCGAGATTAGTTGTCAATAATTTTACTTACAGTTTACAAGGAGATTTAATAAACGTAAAACGTCAGCATACAACCTTCTGAACAGTTATTACTTGGCCATATTGCATTGTTCCTTATTCCATTTACTTTACCAGCTACTATTCATGAAAGTCAAAAACGCGAAGCTATTTTAGAAACTGAACGTTATCTTCGCAAATAAATGAAATGAAACATTCAACTGACAATTATATTCTCGCTCACACTAGAAACAAAACAATTTGCATTATTACTATTATTATTATTATTGTTATTATTATTAGTATTTGCCATATCACTAATTCACCACCTTTGATCCCCAATTTGTGTAACCTTACTTTTCAACTTATGCAGCAGCTCGCTCTTGGTGGAAACTCTGTTCCATCTAAACGATCTCTAGTCGCTGTTTGGTTGAAAGTGAATGCTTCCACCGAACACAAATACTGAAACAGTCTTTCTGGAATCACGTACGCCGTTCAAGCTGACTTCCTTCAACGTTCGCACATTAATGCAGATCGGGAAACAGATAGGGTTGGCTATGTCTTTAGAAAGTCTTAATATCGATATCTGTTGTCCATCAGAGACCTGTATTCAAGAATCTAGTGAAGTACTACAAACTCGCTCTGTCTCTTCGAAAAGCTTATTTCACGTACACCTATCCAGGGACCCTATGGCATCTTCATTTGGTTTTGCTGGCGTTGGTGTCACACTAAGCGCTAGAGCTGAGGCAGCACTAATCGATTGGATCCCCATTAACAGTCGGTTATGTGCTGTTAGATTAGAAAGTTCCATCAAAGTGAGAAGAAACCGGCGTGAGAAACGGTGTCTTTTCGTCATCTCCGCCTATGCCCCGACAGATTGCAGCCCGGATGCAATCAAGGATGAGTTTTACCATCAGTTAACTGTTCTTCTCCAGAAAGCGCGTTCGACAGATATTGTAGTACTAGCCGGAGACTTGAATGCACAGGTTGGGCGTCTAGGCACAGAAGAGAGTCGTTTAAGTGGTTGACGGAGACTTATTGGTCTCAGATCAGATAACGGGGACCGTTTGCTGCAACTGTGCACAGACCACAACCTGTTTCTGGCCAACACTAACTTCCGGCACAGTCATCGCCGGTGTGCCGCCTGGCGTCCTCCCTCTGCATCCCAAGCCTGGACTCAGATTGATCACATCGCGATCAGCCACCGCTGGCGTGGTTGTGTACAAGACTGCCGCTCCCTTTGGAGTACCTATCTGGAGCCTGATCATGCCCTGGTCTGCGCCAATCTCACTTTACTTTTCAGTGGCCGAAGGGTTGACCGCTATCAACCGATCGATGTTAGTAAACTGGCTGCAACTTCTGTTGCAAGTAAGTATCGAGCGGAGCTAGCTTCTAGGCTAGCTACCATCCCACCGAAAAGTATAGATGAGCATTGGTTGCATCTTCACGACGCCATGAAAATGGCGAGTAAAGCCGCCTGCGGCTTCGCGAAACGTCCCGCTTACAAGCACTGTGTTTCTTCTGGCTCCTTACAACTGATTGAAGCCTGTCGGTCTACTCCGGGTGACCGTGAGTATGACCACAAACGAAGGCTGTTACGTAATGAAATCGGGCAAAGCTTGCGTAATGACCGAGAAGCCTGGTGGTCGGAGCGTGCTAATGAGATAGAAGCAGCAGCTGCATCTGGTAACTGCCGGAAGCTCTTCCAACTCATCCGAGCCACTGGCAGCAAGAAGTCTGGTGTGAGTGAAACAATCTACGAGGATGACGGGATGCCAATCACTAACATCTCTCGACGTCTTGGACGATGGGCAGAATTTTTCGAGGGGCAGTTCAACTGGCCTGCTGCTCCGGCAACATCAACCAGTTTGTCCTGCCCCCCATGGCCGGTGACGACTGTTCCACCAAACGACGCGGAAGTCCGCAAGGAACTCCAACTCTTGAAGCGCTACAAATCACCTGGCCCAGATGACTTACCTCTGGCTCTTTTTAAAGATGGTGGTGACTTTCTGGCTAAGGAACCGACTATGTTGTTTGCAAGGGTTTGGGAGGACGAAAGTGTTCCAACATCATGGAATGAGTCGATAGTCGTCCCTATCTTTAAAAAGGGATCACGTTGTTCCTGTAACAACTACCGGGGGATAAGTCTACTTCCGATTGCGTCCAAACTATTGGCTTCTATCATTCTTCGTAGGTTGTTTAAAACCCGAGAGCGATTGACTCGCGAGGAGCAGACTGGTTTTCGTTCTGGTCGAGGATGCATTGATCACATCTTCACCCTCTGCCAAATGTTAGAACACCGTCATACTTATCGCAGGCCAACAATCGTAGTGTTTCTTGATATCAGGGCTGCCTTCGATTCGTTGGACAGGACTGTTCTCTGGGATTGTCTATTGAAGAAGGGTGTGTCTGAGAGGTTTATTAACATCTTAAAAGCTCTATATGCAAACACTTTATGCAGAGTGAGGGCATACAACCACCTTTCTCCCTTGTTCCATTCGAGCAGTGGGGTTAGGCAGGGTTGCCTAATCTTACTATTCCTCTTCAACTTTGCCATCGACGACATCCTGGAAACAGCTCTGATGGATGTAAGTAATGGCGGTGTGGATCTGCTGCCTGGAGAACGACCTCTCGACCTTGGGTGTGCGGATGATATTGTCTTACTGTGCGATAATGCCCAAGACATGCAATCCGCACTTAATCAGTTGGCAATCAGTGTCCGCAGGTACGGCATGTGCTTTGCACCCTCCAAGTGCAAGGTACTCCTACAAGACTGGCAGGACTCTCATCCTGTACTCACCCTGGATGGTGAGCAGATTGAAGTAGTTGAGAAATTCGTGTATCTAGGTAGCTATATAAGTGCTGGTGGTGGCGTGAGTGATGAGATTGATGCACGTATAATGAAAGTCAGAGCGGCTTATGCCAATCTGGGCCATCTTTGGCGCCTTCGTGATGTTAGTCTGGTTGTAAAAGGTCGGATTTACAACGCGTCGGTGAGAGCAGTTTTGCTCTATGCTTGAGTTGAGGACGTTAGACGCCTCTCTGTGTTCGATCATCGTTGTCTCCGAAGGATTGCTGACATACAGTGGCAACACCATGTTAGTAATGCAGAGGTTCGGCATCGTGTGTTCGGGCGCAGAGACAATAATTCAATTGGTGTCACCATCTTGAAACACCGACTTCGGTGGCTCGGACATGTTTTACGAATGTCGTCCCAGAGAATTTCACGTCGTGCATTATTTGCCGACTCTGGGAGTGGTTGGAAAAAGCAGAGAGGAGGTCAGTGTATGACATGGTGTCGTGGCATGAAAGAGAGCTGCAAAGGACTAGCTTCTGTTGGTCCTTCACGACTTCCTGGCTGGGGTCCGAGAGATGGTGCAACACAGTGGCTAGAAACGTTATCAGATATGGCTCAGAATAGAAGCCAGTGGCATGCCTGCTGTAACCTTCTTTTACTTTCTTCATAAAGAGTGGCTATAACTTTCCTAACTGAGAGAGCTCTTCTGGTTGTATATTTCAGTTCCCCCCATCATTACTCTTCTCCTTTTCTTTTTTTTCTTCTTTTATATATACACATCTTCCTTTTCCTCCCATTCTCATTATTTTGTGTGGCACATATGTACCCCGTGCCCTTTGTACCAATATGTGTTTAAATAAAATAAATAAATAAAATAGTAAGACGATTTTGAGGTGAATAATGTAGAACAGTCCAAATGTGGTTCCAGCTAGTTTACCATATAGAACCATACATTAGACGTTAGAGATTATGACAAGAGTAAAATAGATAGGGGACAAACTCTGAGTTCCTTCACTATAATCCAGTAATCAACCATAGATTACCAGCTACAGTCAGGGTTAGTAATAGCAACCAATTGTTCTGACCTAATTAAAACGGGCTTCGACCGTTCCGCCGAACGTTGATATGATAACCAGTGTTTTAGTGATGGGATACACCAAAATGTAAAACGATTAACTGTACTGGCAGTAATCTCACTGACTGATAGGTCTTCATTATAAGGTATTTGAGGATTTATCTTTAATGAGTAGCTTCCAAGCAATAGAATCTGTGACTACCTAATGTGGTGTCTTGCAGTAAAGCTTCATTGTTATCTTCATTTAACAGTCAATTGCAGAACACATAAAAAATACAAAAATGCTCCGCATAAAGCATAACTATTTTTTTTAGATTATCGAAATAACATGTATACCAAATGTTATCTGGTCTAATAGTAGCAAAAATAAACGGCTACAACCATGACTGATAGTTTAACTACAATATCTAGTGCCGAAAACATTAATTAGCTCACGAAACAGATATCCGAACCATGCTTGCATAGTCGTCGAAAGAACGTTGGGTGTGCGACTGAATGTCGTAGTAAGTTAAAATCGCCGTGAATGTACAAAATATTCAATCAAGAAGGTACTTTTCATTAAACACGGCAAATTATGGATAAAAGGGAAGGTCACCATGCAGTGACCTTTGACATCTGCCTACTGTTATATAAACATATGGAGCGGTAGCCTAGTATTCGTGTTTAGTCTTCAACCACTAAGTCGTAAGTTCGAAGCCCGCTCCAACTACGTTAGTTTTGGCAACGGGGTAGTATCCTTAGCTATCATGCTGAATAATGTTCATAATCAAGTACCTGAGGAAGAAGTTTTAATTTAAAATCCAGTACAAACCACCTTGTCATGACTATCGCGATTATAGTATTTTTGCTACAAACCCAGGTAATTTATGGGGGAAAATGGTATGCATAAACAATAACGAGTAAGAACGTTATTAGGAACCCCCGCATCCACAGACTATACAAATCAATTGAGTTGATTTATATTAAAGAATTGATAGTCATTTTAAGGATAATAGTGGCAATACTCGCATCCAGAATATATCTGCAGTAATATAATTACTAAACAGGCAATTTTAGATTTAAATATATAGTACAAGTACAATTCCCTACTTATTTGACGTATAGTCTTAAATCTAAACAACGGCATACAAATACAACTACTTTACAAAACGAAGGTTTGAGTGCTCGGCTTTGAGTCAGATAATATTTATAGGTTACTTATAGGCCAAAAACAGCTTACCAGAGTCTGAATCCTCAGGGACAGTCTCATTTCCTCGACGAGGAGCAGGAGCTTTTTCAGATCCATAATATCCTACTGATACTTTCCCCACTCGCTGGACAGCTTGAACCGGGGTAACAATACCCCGACCGTCAGAGCCAAGACCCTTGCCCGGTTCGTAACCCATCTGCTCCAAAAGTTTCATTCCAATACCTTTTGTGTGCCTTTCCCAAGCTCCGAAACCAGAAGTCGCTGACTTCGCCGCTGCAGCGGCTGCTGCCACACGTCGACTGGCCCCAACAGATATACTCGCAGGCTTGTCAGGTTTACGATAGACATCTGAATTTGGTGAGTCAGAATCTGAATCATGATAAGGATGCAAACTCCTTAGAACAGATTTGTCGTCTTCATCATCCGAAATCTGGTCAGCTTCTTCGTTGTTTTCTTTCGGACCAGAGGAACTACCGGCACCTGCCTACAATGACAAAAAAGACTTGGGATCTTCAAAAACACACTTTTACATAACAAATGAGACTTGCAAATCAGTTGAATAAATGGACGAAACAGACATGACAAATGCATGTTTTACACAGCAACTACGCACAAAAATAACCGTCAGATCTTCCTTACGACTGAACTACACGATCATTTTGACAGTCTACAGGTTTTTTGTTAAAACATTACAACTAAACAATGGCTATTCCTATTCCAGGTACCTTTAATGTAGCCTAATAAATTCATACAACTTAAGTAATAAGCGAAAAATGCGATGCATAACTAAGCAGCGACGTAACTATCATAAAATTTCAAATTATTGAAACACCTAAGGATTTATTCACAGCATAGGAGTTGAGAACAATGAATCGTTATCCTGTCGATGAACCTCATTATTTTTCACCTAGCCTTCCTTAACATAAATATACCCTACCTTCACTCCACCACTGACAAAGGTGATCGGTGCTGAATAATTGGCACCCTTACGCTTGAAACCAGCTTCACGTCCACCGAAGCCACTTCTTTCATGCTCTGAATCTGAATCATCTGAGGCGAAAATCCCGTATGTAGTTTGTTTCTTTGATTGTTTCGATCGTCGCTTTAAAGGATCCATCATGAACGAATATTCCACATCAGACAGACCAAACCTCTCCATCTCTGGTGACGACCCCATAATTCCAGTTATGCCTTCCAACAAATCTGATGACTTTAAAACGTTGCGCGCGCCAGTTCAGTCTTCAGTAATATGGTTTAAACTGTTCAAATGGTTTCGGACGGAATAAAAGAAGCTTTTGCTTAACGGGCTTCCGTGTCTAGTAGCAGTGGATCACCAATACCTCCAGGCAAGAACCTAGGCATATTAACGATATTAGAGGAAAAAAGAAATTGGTAAATCATAATATGTTATCCTTAGTCCTTAAGAATAGGTCAAGTTTCCTAAGGATAGTAGGTTGATGAACCTATGTTAATCCTGACAAATCGCCTTCCAGTGGAGGTCCAGCCTCTCCTTGAAAATGTTCACTGAAGGGGCTAATACAACTTGTTCGGGTAATGCATTCCAGTCATTGACCACTCGATGAGAAAAACGGGACCCCACCTTTAGTTTGTTAGATCACGGTTTGTGAACCTTCTTACTATGACCTCGGAGATTATTGGTGCTGGACAGGGCAAAAAGATAACACATATTAACACCCAAATCATAATTAAAAATACGAACTGCCAGCATAAGGTCACCTCGCGTCCTACAATAAGACAAGGGGAGAAGGTTTAGATGTTTCAAACGCCCATCGTAAGGGAGTTTAGAAAGACCCTTCACCCCTCGGTTATACAGTAACCAGTTTCCGTTTAAGTAACTATTGCTAGTGATGTAGATCATATGGTTAGTATTAGTATTGTCTGGTTCAATCTTGTTCCTAATATACCTATGCAAAACGTGGAGTGCAGTGCTAAGTCATGACATTTCCTCACTTATTCTTCAATGTGGAATTTCATTTTAAAGCGGTTATTAGGTGAAAAAAATCCAGGGGTTCTTTTACAAAACAACTGACAACTGCGTACATATATACATAAATTGGGTAAACAAACTATCTGAAATTAAATTATTTATTTTTGATATGATATGATAAGAACCTGTACAACTCCCAACTAGAAACATGTTTAGAGATACAAGTTATTGAGTAGGTCAGCTCCTACATCCTACCCGTCATATAGTATGTCCGATAGATAAGATGTCTCAGAGATTTCATGCACTTGTTTGTACTTATGGATTCTAGTGTATTCGCACCTAGCTATGTCAGAAGATATACAGAGATAGAGATTTGAGTGGAGTGGATGGTTAGTACATGCTGACACTTGCCAAGGGTTGTCTAACCACAACCATATTATTATTGACCTCAAAAGGTTCACCCTGCTAACTATCTTCGGGACTCTCCGCCAACACAGAAAAATCTTTTCTCAAAAGCTTGGGAGTGATGGGGAACAGCAGTAAATAATAAATCGTCTTCAAGAATTTACTAATCGTAAAAGTAAATGTCAAGTAATGCTAAAAGTATGTAGCCTCTTTATATTATAAGTCAGACGAAAAACTTTATTCGACATCAATAGACATGAGAAGACCGGGAAAAGCCGGAGGAAAGACTTACACCAATATAAATGACCTTTGACACTTAATTACAAAAGCCTCCGTGGTACCAACTTCATGGGATTCCGATAGGGTGTTTAAGTACTGTTTATGTCTCACGCTAAAATTAACAGTCTTGTATTTAAAAGGACTAGGTGGGGGACCACTGACAACAGGCCATCGTTCAACGAGAGACAAGAACTCATTCATTTCAAGGGGATATGAAGGGTTAGAAATCGGTGTAAATACAGTGACTTCATCCGCACACTTAAAAAAAGAGATTTATGTAGAAAATAGATCATCCTGATAAAAGAAAGTGGGGAAAAACAACTCCTTATGGTAAACCTTTACCTAGCAAAGACTTTGGACACTTTTCCCTAAGAACACTGTACCGTTCTCTCCCAGAGAGGTAAAAACAGAGCCAGTTGCTTATCCAGCTGTCAGTGTTGGCGCTGACAAACCTATTTACTGGTAGTGGTCTTGGAACAGAGTCAAAGGCAAATGTATAACCCGGGAATGAGCATTGAACATCTTACTCTTTTCCATGCTGAACATTATACTATGATGCCGAACAACAGCAGTATGTAAGGCACTTCTTTTCCATTTGTAAGCGAACTGATATGGGTCAGTATGACCTTTTAAACCAGATCAAAGTAGGATCGGCAGTTGTGTTGACAATGTTTTGAGAAAACACGAAGTTATTGCCATGAGTCTAAAGTTTAAATTCTTATCGCCAGATACTTCCTTTGGTATCGGAACTCTTTATTTCCCTCCACATTTTCTGTATGAAATGAAACGAGAAGGATTTGTTAAAGATGCTCATAAATAAATGACAGTATCAGCACACTTATTGAAAGATGACGTTTGGTATTTCCTGAGGTTCGAGATATTGTTTCTTGAACCCAGTTCTCTGCCTGCCGAAGTTGGTGACGCACTGTTAACAGACAGGAAAGCTCTCTGAGCAAGAGCCCCTATTTCGTCCAAGACTATTCGAAAATTTTGGAAATTGAATAGGAGTTGGGAACAAATGTTTTAGTGTGTTTTATGGGTCATTGCACAAATGTTTCTACTAGCATGCGGTAAAAAATAAGAGAAAGAGAAAACTAAAATTGAAATTAGTTACTCGAAGAGTCTGACTATAACCGTCTCCATTCCTTGTGTATGGTGAGACGAATAAATATGGTCGATACTGTCATGAATAGTTCAGGGGTCAGGCCACCTACCATACTGGACGGAGATCTTATTGCTCCATACAAATCATTGGTTACGGATCTCTGATGGTATGCGACACCGAGTGTATCACAGGGAGTAATGTCTGCGTCTTCTTCTACTGCAGAATGTTGGTAGTGAAATGTCCAGATGATATGAGATCTGTGTATCACCACTGTTCAACATTAGGATCCTATGTTTATGTCATTAACACGGAGAACGTTTTTGATGGTCCAGTTATTATCCCGTTCAAGTCTTCTTTAAAATATCCGACGGGTCTTGTGTCTACTTTCAAACCCTAATACAATCTGCGTATCACAGTTTGGTAATCCAGAATACGTCCCGAATCGTCGACAACCAACAGAAGGGATGAGGGTATGAAACCTAGTGCTGCTTTGCTCATCATTGTTAATCAGTCAGACTAATCTGAGCCGACTCTGGTATTTCGTAATCTTTTCACTATTAGTGTCTCAAGGGGTGATCAGACAGTGTGGATTTTGTATCTTAAGTGGATTTTGTAAAATAGGACCAAACCGTATACAAATTATCAGTCAGACTGATCGTATCTCTGCATTGCGGTTGATCATTGTTGGATAACGGTGAATGTTCGTTTACATTGATTGGCGTTGTCTGATTGAATACATTTTTTCACGTGGTTTAGAAATTCTTAGACTTGTTCTTTTGTAGGCTGTATTGTCCTTAGATTATCATCCTATCGCGTTCATCGCTCACACTTTACTCTAGGTTAATAAATTTTAACCGACACTTGCCCAGTAAATAGAGATTCCACTGATCAGTACTTCCCTATATTATAACTGAGCACTTTTTAACTGTAATACGTTATATACTAATAGTCTCTGATCCTAGTATTAACCCTGTAATACGTAGAGATAATTATATACTCATATATATCTGTTAAACAGGTTTTTAACTCATACAGCTTCAAAATATGTCAAGTAACTCGGGTAAAGGAGAGATTTCACCAGCTATCAAGCCTACTAAAAGGTCAAAGTCCGCAACTCCTAAGACTGATGACTCAGTAACTGAAAATGATAAGCATTTATCCTTTGAACCCCATTCTACCTACCCATAAGTATAACTAACACTACCTGATTCTCCATGTAACAACCCCTCTATCTCTTCGTGCAGTATGCCAACGGTAAGACTGGTTGACATGAAAAGCGAAATGCCCACGTGCATCAAAAAGTCAACACAGTCCACCAAACCGCATGCTTTACTTAGGCCTAGGTCCAATATACCAAAAACCAAGGAGTCTAACAGTGTATCTCACGTATACGAGAATGCTGATCGATATAGTACTGACATTCGTCAGTTACAAAACTCCCTAGCCGAAATTTACAGCAGAATTAACCAAATAGCACCTATCACACACATATAGGGTATTAATACCGATAAAAATCTCGAAGAACTCACTAAAGCTGAGTGTATTTTAGAGTTTGTGGCTGAAGAAGTAACGAAAAGAATGATGTCTTCCCAAAATGCAGTAGTTTACAATCTCCCTGATCGCATACACCCAAATAAGTTGAGGGACATCTGCCTTAAAGCGTGCGATATGCTGAAGGTCAACTGCCAAGTCATCCGCCTTAGAAAAAAGTCGGATAGATTGACTTGCCCTCTACTATTTAAGTTTGGCTGTTGTAACGATGCTAAGCAATTTATTGATTTGAGCAAAAATATCAGCTCATTAATTCCATACAAAAGCATAAAAGTCACTCCTGACCTAACACCGTGTCAACGTCGTATAAGAAGACGTGAAGCAATAGAATCGTATGATAGAGTAATAGTAAAAAATCAGCTAAAGACAGTATGCAACAAAATGAATGATATAAAGCGCATGGATAACAAGCATGATGTTATGCCACGAACGACTGGCCCATCCGTAGATCTAGATGAGTCTGCAGATCAGAAATCTTTGAATAAGATACGGTCCCCATCTGTCACTAAAAAGCGTGACGGCATCTCTGATCCCGGGTGTTCGCTCAGTATAATACCAAAATGTGGGCCGTGTGACGAAATACACCTAACTAAACATATTCATGTAAAAATTGATTCCCCAAGAGATACTCCACAAGAGAATTCGAATGAACCTAAGTTCATCTCACAGAGACAAAGAAATCCTTTATCTCTGACAAAAAAGACTGGGGAGATAAAATCCAAAATACGAAATAGGGGGACACGTAAGATTGAGGCCAACTGTTCTGTGGGTATCCCAACAACAATGAATAGGTTCTACCCGCTGATATCATGTAACTTGCCATCAACACCTCGCACAATGGGTGGTACGCTTGAGCGTAACAAACCTTTTTACACACACACTCACAAAA